GAGTGTATCTGGTGGTATTTGAATCTGTTTAACCATGAAGCCTCCGTGGTCGGTCTAATGGTTATGACGCTCGCCTTGACAGCGAGAGGTCGCAGGTTCGAGTCCCACCAGAGGCATTTTATTACACAATTTCTTTATTCATTTATTTACAGGACTACATTCGTTGAGAGCTATGCTACACGATGCGTTATTATGTCCTTTATTTGAACACAGTATTTACCTTTCTTTGATGATTTATGTATATAATTTAACAGTGTTAACGGCTATCTTGATTTATGTTACAGCATATGCAATTATTTGTTTCTAGCCGTACTTATTGTGTAATGGAGTGTTATAACTGGTGGTATTTGAATCTGTTTAACCATGAAGCCTCCGTGGTCTAATGGTTATGACGCTCGCCTTGACAGCGAGAGGTCGCAAGTTCGAGTCCCGCCAGAGGCATTTTATTACACAATTTCTTTATTCATTTATTTACAGGACTACATTCGTTGAGAGCTATGCTACACGATGCGTTATTATGTCCTTTATTTGAACACTGTATTTACCTTTCTTTGATGATTTATGTATATACAATATATTATATATATATATATTCATATACATATATAGGCCTATATAACAACATACACATTTCTTGCTTTGTTCTTTTTTTTTGTTCTGTTTCTTTTATTGTAAATGTTAATGTTTTGAGACAAATGAATGAAATGAGAAATGTTTTTATATATTTTTTCGCATAGGCCTAGAAGTATTTTATCTGCTGATGACGGATCACAGATACAATATTAAGTACACAGCGTGTCAAAGGTCAATTATATTTACTTTCTCATTCTGTGCAAAAAGAAGCAAACCGACAACAGACTCAAAAATAGATATTAACGAATGAAGTGCTATATGATTAGGTAAGAAGAGTGATTTAATGATGGTTAAGGTAGAGGTACATAGGCCTAGACCTTTTTTATACTCATGTAGTTGTAGTGCCGATACAAATTGGTTGCCAGACAAGGCCTAGGCTAGGCCCTAGCCTGCCTAGTTAGGCTCTGCAGGTAGGCTTAGGTAATTAGCTAGTAAGTAAAGTAGGCCTAGGCTTAGGTAGGCCTAGTAGTACCAGAGACTCGAGTTTGGCCTAAGGGGTTTCTGGCGTAGAGAACCAGCAGTCTAGGCTAGGCCTATTTATATACACCGTGGCTAGAGATACGGTACTGTATCGGAACTTCCGATTGCTAAAAGTACGGTAAATGATAATTACGTCATGATTAGCAAATAGAAACGCCGATACATGCGTGACGTCATTCAGTGCCCTGCTGCTGCAAGAATAGTAAGTGTTGGCAACGATCGAAGATAAGAAATTTTGTTCGTTCGTGGGTGTTGTTGACAAGCCCGAGGCCCTAGCAATTAAAAATGATAGCAGTTTTGTTAGATTTGGCGACATCAAGCGAGAATAAAGTACCCCTGCCTTAGCTGAAACCTAGCGAAGCCGGAGGGCCCAGCTAGAGAGTAGTAGGCCGTCCTATACCTAGCTATGTCTAGGCCTAGGTAGGATAGGCCTGCCTGAACATCTCTAGGCCTAGGTCCGACCTTTCCTTGTTGTTACTGCCTATCTTAGGCCCTCACCCTAGTTGAAACCTGGCTATTTAATTGGAAGTTAAAAGAGGGGAAAAAATTGATCGCCCAAAATGCCTCAGTGGTTGCGTCTGTCTAGAAAACAAATACTTCGCGGACATTCCCTTAAGGCGATGTTATTTCGGCCCCATTTTCGGTTCCCCTGTAGTAGGACATCTCATGATCGGTGGCAGGGCCCTGTCCATGGTAAATGAAATATTAAAGCTTAAACGAAGTTGAATAATTTTTTTTTTTTTTTAATCGAATCCATAGACGAGAGGTGAACACACGCGTATACATTCAATGCCATGACGTGTGTGCACATATAGCCAGTCTAATTTTATCTTCTGACATACTCACTCTTTGCAGTAGTGCCCCAACAAGTTCCTGAAGACGGCGTACAAAGGATGTTTGCTTCACCCTTCACCCTTCCGATTTTTATAGTTAGTTTCCAAGCAACAATACCATAGGCCTTGTGAGTAAATTTCCGGCTTATTCAGATATCAAAAGAAGCCTGAAACAGCCATTAACATATGTAGGCTTATAAATTTTATTTAAACTATACATTTTACTATTTCCATTTATTTGTGTATTCTATAAACATGCCTAATCAAAATATGTATCGAGAATGTAAATACAACAAATACAATACAGAATAAACAGAAAAACAGAATACAAACCATGTGTCTGCTTCACCTCAACATAATTGTTGAAAATGTTTCTTTCCTCAAATTATACTGTAGTTAATAATTTCTTTAGTTAATTTCTATGCAATGAGTGATTTTGTTGGCCTTATGAATACAATAATATATTTGCTTTATTTTCATTATCACATCATTCAGTATATTTTAATTTATTTTATATTGGCCTACTGTATGTATTGTTATAAATAGAAACATTTGGTATTATGTAAATGGAGGCGCAAAAAAAAAAAAAAAAACTTATGACAAACTAATCTGCTAAATTAACTATAAGCCTACTTATTTTATAAATCTAAATTTTATTGAAGCATTTATACATGATCCAAATATATATCGTATGGAAGCGATAAAAAGAAACGTGTCTCCAAACCAATCGACTTGCAACATTTCCGTTGTTTCTGTCAAAAGAAAGAACATCATTTGATACTGCAATGAACTCTAATAATAATAATAATAATATTTAATAAATAATAATAATAATAATAAAATACTACTTTAAAAAAGAATTGTTAATATCTGATAATGTTGCAGTAATATAGCCTAAGTTTCATGTTTAACAAACGGTATACTGCTTAGCCACCTTGTTCGATTAAATTATTATTCGCGGCCGCACCTTCAGCGCTGTTCGCGCCACACGTTTCTCATGATCACGATGTCGAATTTGCAAAAAAGCAAACATCGCGTCGGTCATTTCTATTGGCTAATCATGACGTAATATGATTTACCGTACCTTTAGCAATCGGAAGTTCCGATACGGTACCGTATCTCTAGCCACGGCGATTTATATACTCCTGTACGCATACCAGGCTGTGTCTATCTCGAAATAGATGGCTGAGATAGGCATAGATAGTCTATAGCCTAATAATTAAGATTAGGCGTTTCAATAGGCCTAGCCTAGGGAGGCCTAGGAATTACATATCGTCACCGTTTTCACAAAGAGACACAAACTTAAATTTCGACGAAAACGTTTTGAGAAAAACGCAGTTGAAGTGGACTACTTTACAAATCCGTAAATTTCACTATCAAGATAACAGAATTTTGAATATTTTTTACATATGTTTAAAAGATAAAGCATTAAACAATCCAAATTTATGTGTAACTTATTTTTCTTTTCTTAACTTTAATCAACCTGTTAATTAGCGTGAAAAGTTTGTGTCTGTTCATGAAAACGATCAGAATAAACACAGCATATGTTGTTTACACGTAGAGTGAAGTTTGTGTCTCTTCGTGAAAACAGTACGCGTTGTACGCGAACCCGTTTGTTAACGCAAAATCTGTATTTTAGCTATGTGTTAATCATTGTAGTCAAGGGCGAAAACAGGCCTACATGGCCTATCCTGCTTTAATCATTATGTTTTTACGAATAATTCCACATCTGATACACGTGTATAGACTTATCCCAAGTTATACTGCAAGAAGGGTACCGGTATGCCTAGGTAAGCTAGAGAAATCTAATTTTTGGCATCTCGCCCTAGCCAAGCTAGGCCTTACCTAGCGATCACAACGATTTCAACGCCTCACGTGCGTCTTTTAATAACCCAATTAAAGTTTGTGTCTGAAAGTGAAAACGAAAAATCCATTTTTCTTGGTTTGTGCGCAACGGCTAATTAACTAATTAGTGTACTGTAGTTCCACTCTTAAAAATGAAATGGTTAAGTTTGATGTACATAATCAAAGTATCAAAGAAAAACAAAATTGAAAAAATATGATTTTTGAAGTTTGTGTCACTTCATGAAAACGGTGACGATATGTTACCCACACTGTAATTTTTTTTTTTCGCGAGGATATCTCAATCAAAAACCAACTCATATTTGCAAGGAAAATAGGTGTGCAGTGTTTTAATGACGCTGAAATATAGACCAACCACAATGCCTAATTTTTAAGGAAAAATGGAGTGGAAATTGTCCCTTATTTATTTTTCAAAATGAGCGGACGGAATTCTTTTTTTGTGCAGGGATATATTCCCTGCGCAAGCCTTACTTTACACATTCTGGTTAAGTTCCAAACTTTCAGATACAATCAAGAGTCTCCCAAATTTCTATGCAATCTCCTAGTCTCCTGAATTTTTAAAAATTCTCGAGAATTCAAAAAAGCAAAAATTGCTAATTAGTGTTTTTCCTTTTGGTACAAATAATTTAATAGTATTTCTGTGTCAACGTTTCATTTCCTTACATGCCGACTACTGTATCCATCAACGATTTTGTTGGCGTAAAAATTCTTCCCAGTATTTAGTAGTAGGTCTTTGCAGACATTTGGAAAGATCAGAGTGCATCCATAAAAAACAATAAATACTTTTCAACGTTTTGGAGGTGGGGCACACTTCGCCAGCACCCATCCCGTCTCCGTGAATTTTTAGCTCTAGGAGTTGAAACATTTGTTTTTACAACCCATCAATATTGTGTGGGGATACATCAAAACCTCAATGAAAATTGTGCCAAAAATCATTTGCACATAATAGGCAGACCTAACCACTGTGTAATCTGTTGGTTGTATATTGAGACATAAGCCATGAGTATGCAAAAAAATGTTGGTGGAAATTGTACCGCATCCAACCAGTTGATTCAGTTGTTTTTTGTGGTTTTTCAGGTTTGATTTTCTGGGCACAGTGATTGGTTAATGAAATCCTTTTATTGATGGTATGGGGATAATGACAGATGCTAAAGATAAGGTGAGTTTACATACGGTAGGCCTACAGCATACTATTTTTATTAAAACACAAATTCAAAAGTCATGCACCAATTTTATTGGCAAATTTCAGTGTGTAAGTTTACCCTCTACAAGGCATCTCATGATCCTCTAGAATATCCGCTAGTTGGGTGCTTGTCCCAAGTCCTTCGCATCTGGAATTATCTTTAATCTTCTAGTACAGCTTTGGTGCAGTGGAAATGGCTTGGTTTCTCAACTGCAAGCTTAGGGTTTCAATCCTTCCCTGTGCATTTCACTTGTATGTAACTTGAGCAAGGTACTATGCTAGGAGTAACCTGTGATTTACCAGCATCGCCCCCAGGTGGCACGCTCTCATCCGCTTCATACTACTTGAAATTGGGGTAAGCCCCACCCCATGAGCCCCACTGCTCAGTAAGGATAATATATTTTATATTTCCTATTACAGTAAAGCATTTTACATATGATATCCTAATTTTACGTCCCCGTGATTATGTACACCTCATACGGATAACAGATTGCACCTTGTTTTTTGCAGCCCAGCACCGATCATCTGTAAAAAGTAAATTTTGTAAAACTGAGCATGAAGTGGCCATAAAACAGTGTGTGAAGGTTTTTGGAAGTGCACTGAAACATCGAAGTTTGGGTGCAGCCCTCGGAGTTGAATCAAAAATTCACTTTGGCCCTCCAACCAATTTTAATGCCCCCCACCCCAATTTAAACCAACGGACAGTGATAAAAACATGGAGAAAAAAAAAATTGTATTCAAGTCTCAGAGTGCCATTTCTGGCCATTTAGGGGTGCCATAATCATACATTTTTTTTACCTCAATCCCAACCATACTTGGGCTGTGGTGGGTGGACCCTCTATCTGTGAAAGTGTCTCTGTGGGCCCCCTCAATTTTTAATTCTTTGATCTGCCACTGCATACCCCGGGCTTTTGCCCAAGGAAACTTTTGTTCTGTAAAAGGGAAGTCAGACATAAAAGTAATGTGTGGGACACTACCAAATAAACTCTGAATATTTTCTTTAACAAAAAAGTTGCCATTTGTTTAGTACAGTAGGCCACAGGACACCTAATGTTAAACTGCAAATGGTAATAATCAGTTGATATTATTAGTTTCTACCTGGTCTGTTAAATGCCATTTCTAATGATAATATAATAATAATAATAATATGCAGAAATTTATAACGCGCCAATTCAAAAAACATTATCAAAGGCGCAGTGAATAATTAACCCAATGAAAGCGATTTTGTAAACAAAAAAGTTTTCAAATTAGTTTTAAATGAGTTTAAATTTGAAGATTGTCAAACAGAAAGAGGTGGTAGATTCCAAAGATAAGGTGCCTGAACAGAAAAAGAGTGTTGTCCATATGTTTTTAGCTTTCTCCTTTTTGAAGGGGCTTGAAGAAGAACTTTATCGGAAGAACGAAGTGCACAAGTTGGAGAGTATGGCGTAAGAAAATGTAGCAAATATGATGGTTGTTTAAAAAAGAGTGATTTAAAAACAAGCAAAAGAATCTTGAATGCTATCCGTTGTTTAATGCTAAGCCAATGAAAGTCTTTAAGAATGGGAGTAATGTGTTGTTTACGTGGAGTAATAAGTGAACATATCCTGGCAGCTGAGTTTTGTAATTTCTGTAAAACGATGAGAAACAAAATCAGGCAAACTATCAGGCAAACTGACAAGCAATGAATTACAATAATCTACTAAGTGGAAATTAAAAAATGAAAAAAGATATTACAATGATGATTTAAAAGTTAATTGTATATTCCAGTTTGCATGTCAAACAATAGAATCTTGTGTAATGGCCTTGGCTTGGGGGAGGGGGGCTCTTCCATTATTTTATCTTGCATTCTTCTATTTATTTTTGTATAGCTACCATCATTTTGCTAAATATTTTGTAAACAAAATTTGTTTTACTTTAATAGTTGTCTGATTGTAGAATTCATTTACTCTAGTTAATGTAGTATTAGTAGGTATATACTGTATAAAGTATTTTTTTAAATGTTTAACAAGGAAAAATGCATCTATTAATACTTTGATTCTATTTTTAATATTAAATGTATTTGAGGCTTGTCATCCTAAAATCAGCACACTGTCATGAAATGTTAAACTGAGTGATTAGCATTTAGGAATGTGGCAGTATTGTATACTTACAGTAAGTACCAGGGGCGGATCCAGAGATGTCCAAAAGGGGGGCCCGATATTTGGGCCGATCCGAGACAACAATGTCCCAGGGGTCCGGGGGGATGCCCCCGCGAAAATGTTGTGTTCTAGACGCCCGAACATAACATTTGAGGCGTTGTGGGCTATCATTTTTTTCTTTTTCTCTCTCTTTTTCTTTTTTTTTTTCTTTTTTTTACCTCCCAAAAGGGGGGGCCGGGGCCGGGCTGCCCCCCCCCCCTCAAATCCGCCCCCGGAGTACAGAGAAGCTATTAATACATAAACTTTGGCAATGGTGAGTGGATTCCAGTAAAATAACCCACCATTTTAAATAATGTGGAGAATATGAACATATTATAAATATATAACATAAAGTCAATTTTCTAATTTTTATAAATTAGAACAGTAAACATAGAAAGTAAGGTGGAGTGGAATCTGCATAAAAGAGAAAGAGAGAAAAAATGGGTAGAAAAGGAGTAAATATTGTAATTTACATAAATTAATAATTTTAAAAAAAATTGTTCAAAAAGACTTCAGGTGAGGGTTTGATGCTTCCTTGATGTAGTCTGTTGGTATTATTTGTGTTTATTGTTTGCCAGGATATTTTTCAAATATATACTTTGTATTTATATATATTTTTTAATGTATGTGATTTTTTTATATAAAAAAAAAGGGTGATGGTTTCATCATTAAAGAGTGAAAGAAAAGGAGGCAATCGTCTTGTTTTGATTGCTTTTCTGGTTTTGGTATCCAGCCCCCATATACTATGACAGTATGTTTAAAACCACAAAACAGCCATATTAATTTTCTATTATTGATTGGCCCTACATTATGTATGAATTGTTAATCCGTACAAGGACAGATTCATAGCAAGTGTTTGTCAAAACTCACTATTAATAGAAAAGTATTTGTATGCATTGCAGATCCTTTTGTTGTGTGACTGCATTTCCCATTGTGGTAAAACTCTTCAGTTTACAGAACTGCTTGTGTATGTGCTTCAGTATCACTTCCGCATTGGAATCAACCATTTTCTTCTGTATATTTATAGTATACGTACAAACATACTTTTTTGAAATTCTATATATTCATACAGTAAATGGCGTGTCTAATAAATTGGCGGGACAATTTTTGCAAGTGTTGGCATATGTTCAAAGGGCGCCCCCCACTTGTGCAATCGGGTACAATGCCAGCAAGATTAACACAACAGACATACATCTGTTATTTGTACGTTATCGTCTAGGTGTATTTTCCCCGAACTACCAGCCGTTAAGTGTGTGGTTCTACAATGTATAGCAAAGAAGTATATAAACGCTAGAATTTACACCTATTTTGGCGAGTATATTTGTCCCTACAGTAGCACCCTCAGCAACGCGACGAGGCGTATGCAACAGATCATTTTCCTAGACGATCCAGTTTACATTTTTATGTGGCAAATGATATTCCCATATTTTTGGGATAATGACATTCCCATATTTTTGGGATAATGACATCATCAGACTGGTGGCAGTCCGGATGGATCGTCTCGAACATGCATCACAAGATCCCTTTTACTGTCTTTTGAAAGAAGCCCTCTCAATCGTGGTAGCACTTTTCGAGATACAGTATACAGGAGTATTGCGTTTCAATAACATAAATCCAAGACCTAAGTTCTACTATTTAGTATTACCCAAACGTCGGAAACCAAAACGTTGTGTGCAGAAGTAAACGATTACGAACTTCTCAAACCGAATCCCCATGCGGACAATTTAGTAAAAATAATAATACAGTAAAAGGCAATAGACACATGCTGCCACCGGGAGCCTGTTTTTTAATAAAATAAGCTCAAATAGTTTAATCTGGTTTCAGTTTTTTGTAGTGTGGATGGAGCCTAACATTTTTCTATCTACCCAAGTTCTACACTATGAAAGAGACTGACTGCAAGATATTCTATTAATCAAATAGTGACTGCATAATTCAGCTTTTTCTGTGGATATAAAAAAGTTTAGTGAAATGTGAAAAATGGTTTTGTCCTCATCAAACCAGCCCTACTACTTTACAATTGGTCGATTATCATTCATCAAAATAACAAGCTTTCAAATATTTTGTAATTGAATGGATCAAAGCTTTGTTTGTAAAGAGCTTTCACGCTTGCATTATATAGTAATTCTTTGGTTTCTGTCACAAGGATTCTTTCCTTTTAAATTGTCATTCTTTCAGTGGTAAAGCTCATATACAGTACTGCAGGTAATGTACAACAGTATTGTAGGTTGAATGTCTGACAAATATCTAGTTCTGTAGGTACCGTACATTGAATATTGAATTGAGTACTAAGTGTAAATAATTGCGGCTAAGAGTAGACTATATTAAAGGATAATAATAACCTGGTTTGCTACTTTTACAATATAAATGTTGTAGTTACTGTATATTTAATTTTGTTTGTTCTTTGAGGATCTCACATTTTCTTGATCATGTGTGTCTATGTTTTTCTATTTTCTTCCTTGAGGCATGTCATAGGTCAAGTTTGTAGTATTACTGGCAATGGATATTTAGGGTTGAAGAGCAAATTTGATTTAAAATAGACAGTGATCAGCTCCTTATTGTTGTATTGTAAATTTGTATATATTCTTGAACTTCGTACAAACTACAGTTTAGTACGAACTTAGAACAAGATATTAGAACAGGTTCATAATGTTATGAACAGGAACATTATACAGTAGTATTAAATGTATTCTTCAGGCAAGAAACACACTTTAAATTTAAAATAAATCCAGAGGGGGTTGATTAAACTTATTTTCTTAGTTAGCAAAATATTTTAATATAAAAATCTTGATGGAGATGAGCATAAAATACAAAAAAATT